TTGGGTATTTATAGTGAAAAATAACAACAGCCAAAACCCCAAGGAAATCATCAAAATCCCCCAAAATCCGGTTTTCTAAAACTAGCCGTTACTGTGCAACGGCTCTATGATAAGTCGACTTATGAGTTGACTAATGAGTCGGCTTATATGAGTCGTCTCAGCAGAAGAAAAATCACAACTTCGCTGCATTTCGTGAGTCGACTTATAAGTCGACTAAACATGCACAAACCAGATTTGCACAGAAAACTCAACTTAAGAACATGTTTAAAAATATCAGATAAATTCTAAAAAATGTGAAACTTTGGGAATAGTTTATAATTATTTTGACAAACTTGTTTGAAGAGGAATTTTGCCAAAAGGTCCTCGTATTTATGAAAAACATCATTTTGATAAAAGTACCAAAATACAAGTTTTGAAAGTGTGTAAGTGTGTGATATTCCGAACAGCTTCAAATAAAATCTACAACTACTTGCCTACAGTCTAGCGCTAGAGAGAAAAGAAAAACTAGCAAATATCCTCACATAGAATAACATTTCTTTGAGTCTTGATATTGCTTGGATTTGATGAAACTTTTACTTGTATATGTTGTTCTCGATTAACATTTGCTTCATCACATTCCCTCCACCTCCTATATATATTAACGTTGTAGCTCATATTCCATCCAATCCTCCATATATGATACTAACTAGCTTGATATACATATTAACTATAATATCACTCAACAAGCAATTAGTACCGATAATGATGGTTGTAAATTATCATCAAAAGACAAGGGCTAACATATTAGAGCCGGACTAAACCTGTAAAAAGTTCTTCAAAATATACATTCATCAAAAGACCACTAAAATAAATCTCTTCATTGAACTAAAACCAACAACAAATATTCTCTATAATCCCAAAAGTCAACACTAATCCAATTAACTTGATAAAAATAAATATTCCTCAACTCTAAATAAATCTCAACCTAAAGAAAGAATCTCATTATTACAAAACTCTCAATTCATCAACTAAACATTAAAGATTTTATTTAACCTTCGTCTAGAACACAATAACAATCTCGAGTTATATTCCTTGCTCCGTTCTAAGAATTTGGCAAATCCTCAATTCCACCTAATTCCGAGTCTCTGAAAAGAATGAAAACAACACAATGAGTTCACAACTCAATAATTGGATAAATTCATATATTAGACATTGGTTTTGCAAAACTAAAATAAATTGACTTGATAAGCGAAATACTAAAATAGTAAAATCGATAATGCAACACTTTTAAAATATATACATGCAATGGAAATAAGCAGGTCACGTCTTAATGTGGTCAACACTTCGATACTCCGGTTGACATGGCAAACCCCACTATTATAAAGCCCGTGGTAGGGACGGTGAGACCCAAACTTGGGCTCTTAGCGCTAAAATAGAAACCTCATAGAGGCACATTAAACCCTGTTTTAATAACTTGCTTATATCCGACATATACCGATATATTGACCTGAGATGCATATGCTTTAAGAAAATTTTAAACGAAGTCGGTAAAACTAAATACGTTATACAAAAATGCCAAAGGCCAATCGATAGTGAAATCAATCAATCACATATGCATTTCAACCTACTACTATATGAAAAGACATAACAATTGATAAAGAAAATAATAACAATTGACAAAGAAAATAATAACAATTGACAAAAAAATAAGCATAGGCTAATACTAAATAACCACGTGCATTAATCTAATCAACAATTAGTATGCGAGCAACCATACAAAATGATATATTCCATCAGAACAAACTTACACATAGTTAATATAATCTTATATGAATATGAAAAATACACAGCGAATAATGTATAAATTCACCACTTATCTTAAACCAACCAACAATCCAAGTTCAACACTTATGACGCTTCTGTGAAATCCCTAGGAATCCCTAAAGATAAAAAAAACAATCATTAATACTACTACATATTCTACCCTCATAACCTACTAACTGACTAACATACATACGAGATCATAATTGTCATTCAATCAAGCCTACATAGTTTATTGAGAAACTGGTTGTGCATTCTCATCGTTTTTTTTAAATTTAAAAAGCGAGGACCTGGACCTGCTATAGTCTGGATCAGATAAAGTAAACTTGATCTAGGTACTATTATAGTTAACTAGGGGTACGGCGGGTGGCTTCATGAATAAAGTCAAAGTCCTTCATAATATGAACTGATTATTAAAGAAAAGGAAAGGATAATACCTTGATTAATATTTTGATCCCAAAAAAAATCCCGTTGATCCTTATAGTGGCCCCCTTCTCTGACTTTTTTTTTATGCGGCTGAAAAAGACGGGAAGAAGGAAGAAGAGGCTGACGGGTAAAATATGTAGGGTTTTGGAAAATTTATAAAGGTTCTTTTTTTACTAATAGACCCTCTAAGAAATTTTGCATAAAAGCCCCTTTACTTTTCCTTATATATATATATCTAGCCAAAAAAAACTTAGAATTATTACACTTTTTATGCTTAAAAGAGTCAAAAATAGTTTTCGGGAGCCGATAGACCAGTTGAGTTCTATGAGGAGGATAAACTTGTAATTGCCAATATTTTAACTCTAAAAAGAGTCGAAAACGTTCGTTATGGGGGTCTATCTGCCCTTGGGTAAATACTACAAGGTGTCTATCAGGACAAATAGAAGGGTCTATCTGCAATTAGGGGGCACTACAGGAGGTGTGTTCGCAATTAGCCCATAATATACAAGCATCAGCAATCCTCCCATGACCCATTCCAAATCATATTTGACCACTGTTTAAAAATTAATGACTTTGTATTTGAAACCTACCAATTTCTATTCGTGCTCTTGAAATAATTTTAATCGCTAGTTGTCTGAGACCTGTCAAATTATAGCCGCAGTTTGACATAGCCTTAATTGTGTATTTGTGCTCATGACCTGTCAAGTTATATGCTCAGTTTGAGATAGCCTTAATTGTTTGAACATTGATCACTTATGTGATCATAGAATACCTATGAGACTAAAGGCAAAATTCTATAAGACGGTTGTAGGATTAACAATGCTTTGTGGAACGGAATTTTGGGCAATTAAGAAGCAACATGTGCAAAACATGAGGACAGCAGAAATGAGAATTTTATGATGGTCTTGTGGATATACATTAAAAGATAGGATAAGAAATGAATACAATCATAGTAACTTAGGGGTTGCTCCTATTGAGGATAATATTAGAGAATTGATTAAGCTGGTTTGTCATGTACAACAGAGACCCCTTAGCGGCACTGATTAGAAAATGTGATAATATTATAATTAATGAGGCAAATAGATCTAGTGGTAGACCTAAAAGGACTTGGTTGAGAACAACTAAGAATGATGTAATAATGGTTAACTTTGACATAAATAGTAACTTTGGGATAAATAGTAACTTTGGGATAAATAGCAACTAAGAAGGACTTGGTTAGGAGCAATTAAGATGATCCATAATAGAACAAAATGAAAAAAATAGGATTCATGTAGCTGATCCCAAAACCTCAAATATTTGGGATAAAGGCTTTGTTGTTGCTACTGCTACAGTTTGTTGTGTTCATAACTTGCTAGTTTACTGGCCTAGTTTTTAAGTCTTAACATTTGTGGATTATTTTGCCTTAGAAAAAACTTAATGAGCATTAACAATTTTTTTACTTTACTTACTTTTTGGTTCTATTTCAGATATATGCCTTAGTCTTCTTAATTTATTTTGTGTCTTGAACACTTGATACAACTTTCCTCCCTTAACTGGTCAAAGTTAGTGTTCTAAATGTCGGATGTTGGGGACATGTCGAAAGGAAAAAAATTATATCAGACAGCATGTGTTGAAGATATTTAATAATTATCGGGTTGTAATTTCCAATAATGTGTTTATACATATATTAGATATTCATACTTGAGGCACCAAAGATCAAAGCTGTGGAGAAAGATGATATTGTTTGCAGAACTCTTGCAAATAATTTGGTCCAATTGAGCACAAGTTTGTATCTTTTATTATTTACATAGGCAGATATTATATTTGGGTTTAGACCTCAATTGAACCACAAATCCAAACTAACCTTTTAAAACAAATAAAAGATCAGATCAGCATTGCAACATTTCAGTTGATTTTTTTAGGGCAAAATGTCAAGTGAAACGTCGAGAAAATCATGATATACTGCCTAAAAATTACCAAAACTGGTAAAGGATATTTAAGACCATATGGTTTTGCTAAAAGCCTCATTAAAGGATATATCGGCTGATATATCGGTCACGTCTAGGATATTTACCAAAACTGGTAAAGGATATTTGAGACAATATAGCTTTGCTGAAAGCCTTATAAAAGGATATATCGGCCGATATAACGGCCACATTGGGGATATTTAGAACGATTGTCAACATAAAAAATGTTTGCTAATTCTGAAGTCATTAGTCTTTCCAAATCCTTTTATTTTTTTTATTATTTACCATAGCTGAACTTTGTGTTTGTTCCAACCTTTTCCTCGGCTTTACTTTAAACATATTTAATTAGAAATTGTTGATTTCATGTTTTGGCTGCTATTGAATTTGATTCCTCCAGATAAGTCACTGTATTGCGTTGTAGTTAGACATAATTGAACCTTTTGTATTTCCTATCCTTTTCCTCTGCTGTGCTTAAAACATATTTCTAGAAATTGGTGGTTGGAAGTTTGGCTGGCATTTGATTTGATTGGTTCAGATAATTCATTTTATTGCCTTCCATTTAGACAATGTAACCTGCGGATATCAGTTTATAACCAGATTGTGCTCTGATTTCATTTCCAATGAGGTACTTCAACGGTTCAAGCATTATGACAGTTGGCATACATGCTGTTTAAAATTTGAATAACCTTAAAATTTTTCTATCTACCCTAACTACATGTCATCATCAAAATTCAGAGTTTTGCAATCCACAGCTATGAGATTATTTTCAAAATCTGTCAAGCTATTGGCCTGTGAAGTTTACCAAGTTTTGGACTATTTCTTTTGCAGTTCAAAACTTGAAGGAAGATCCCTAAGCTGTCGCCTCACTGACAAGGTAGACTTTTACTTAGCACTTGAAGACAATTTCTAACTATGAATCAAATATTGCAAGTTATCTGCTTATTCCTGAAATTATTTCATGGAAACTATATTAAACCTAACTTATACTGGACAAATGAAGGCAAATGACATGTTGCAAAGATGGTTTGAAGATGACGATTCCATGGAACGTGCTCTTAGTGGAGAGTATGTAAAAGATGTCATCGACTATTTGGTTCTAATATGTGGCTTATTCTTTGCTAACTTCATTTCCTTTTGTACGCAGGTGGTATCTTTTCCCTGTAAATAATGCTAATGGAGGGCAGCCCATTAAGTTGATTAAAGATGAGAGAAGACCATGTATCATTGGGTATGATTAAGGAGGCTTATATATTGTCCATTATGTTTCTTCATCTCACTGCTTTCTCTTATGTATCTTATGCACTACAGGAGTCAATCTCATACAGCGTCGCCTGGAATATCAATAGAATTATCTTTTCCACAGGTAAGTAGTGGACACTTCTGAGCTAGGAGGTTTTGAATCATTTGTATGCAGGTCAGGTTTTATTCCTGTTGGTAGGTCCCAGATATAATTTACTTGCAGAGTGCTTTTGAGTGGTATTGGTAGAAAATTATCGCCTCACTCAAATCATAGGGAACGTGAAATAAATGATTTTAGTTCTTCTTATCGAGGATATAAATGATAATCTCATAGTCCTATCAAGTTTAAGATTTTGGTTGCATGAGGGAGGGAGAAGTATGTTCAAAAGAAAATAAAGCCAGCCATGTGACATATTTTTCAACACATAATAACTTAATTATACCCAATTTTGGCTCGTCTAATTCATTCAAAAGGTGCCTTCCGCAAGACACGCACAAATCATATATTAGTGTCCCAACAATGCAAATACTAAGTTACTAACCATTAAGTTCTTAAGTATCTTTATGCTACATTAATCAGTAATTGAACTGTGCATGCTCATTGGGTTTCTGCAGGTCTTTGAAGTTTTTATTTACTGTTTTGATAGTTTATTCTTTTATTTCCAGATTTATTTCTGAAATTTTAAAAAATTAAATTTCCTTTGTTCAAAGTTTTTGTTCTAAGAATAACCTCTGTTTTTAAAGCATAACCAGGCAGTGAAGAACATTAAAAAATTCTATCCGGAGAATAATATCGCTTCTAGTGTACACTCCACACAGTTATAGTTGTATACTCTCACCCCCCATGCCCCACTAACAACTCCCAACCTATGTTGCATGAACATGGGTACCGGTAGAGGTGCAGGTACTGGTACAGGACATGGCAAATTGGTAAAGGTAGGCTACAGGAACACGGCTATATGCACATTGAAATTAGTAATTTTCACAAGAACAATAAAATGTTAAGTGAATTTTTTTGTTTCGTTTATTATGTAGATTATAAATTGTAAAACCACTCATTTTTTTAATACATACCCAAAATGACCTTCCAAAACATAGTTCTGAACTGAGTATTCACTGAAATAAGCCCGATTCATGACCTGCAATTTTCAGAAAGTGGATGTGAAATGTAGGACATACTTCCAAGAAGTTTATAACAAGTGTCTTAGATTAGAACATATATAACTAAGTGCATGCTTGAATAAGAGCATGTGTCTATTCAAGGAGTGTCGATGTCCGGTATGGGTACAATACCTGATAGAAGTGTCCAAGGATTGTCGGTATCTGATACGTGTCAGTTAAGGGTAGAGCTTCATGATAGAAGTACGCAGGTAATGTAGCCCCCAAAACACACGCACAAACACACACACATGCATTCAAGGTTGAGATCCCTTTTCATGGGTAGAAAGCTGGACGGCACACAGCTATATCTTTTTTTAAGTATGCTGGTTGGTGGGATTTGTATTTGGATTGGTTTGCTACAATTTTAAAGTCTTAGGTTGCACAAACACACCGAAGTTGTGGTGAGGGTGTTTAGGGTTAGATTTTATACTCTTAACAATATCTATCAATTCATTGTTTGATATAATTTATTAATATTAAGTGTTTTTCCTAACTGATAAATACCTTTCAGCCAACATCATTTCACTACCAAAAAGTTGTACCTCAATAGCTTTGTCTTTCAATTAGTTACTAGTGCTACCTTTTCATTGTTTGACCAGACCTTTCTCCTCTCAGGTGGCTGAAAAACATGCCCAAATTAGTTGCAAAGACAACGCTTTTTACTTAACTGATCTATGTAGTGAGCAGGGCACATGGATTACTGAGTAAGTTCTGCAATTCAGTTTGTTATGTTTCTTATATCATTAATGTAATATAGCATTAATTAAGAAGTCAACTAAATTGGATATTTATTTCAGCAATGAAGGGAGGCGATACCGAGTACCTCCAAAATTTCCAGTTCGTTTCCACCCATCCTATGTCATTGAATTCGGCTCTGACAAGAAGGTTATTTATCTCTCATCCTTGCTTTAAGCATTACAATCTCCTACAATAATGTCTTGGCTAGGATATTTTTATTCAAAGCTATTACTATGGACTAGTTCGCAACTTTGCATATTGAATTTAATCTAACATCATATACATATAATACTAATGGAAGTGTGAAGCTTAAAATCTGAGGATGATCCGAATTGAGAGTAAGTGCTAGGTATGAAGATATTTATTACCTTAGCTGGGGAACATTAAGAAATATTGAATGTGTTGTTATAAAATATGGTAAGAGTGAGTTTAGAGGAGTCATAGTTATGTGAGCTTATTAAGACTGTAACTGATGAATCCATGCTTCTATTCTGCTATAGACATAACTACTCTTTTGGCCAAGGATTCGTAATTTTGCTAGTTAAACATGCAATTAGCATGTTTGAGAAGTAAATAAATAAATGCTAAATTTGGAGGGTATATCTATAAAAACTCCATCTTTTTGTTCATTTTTTTTATCTCTTTGTTTGATATTCAAGCACTTTGATATGAGGCTCATAAAGCTGGTTTATTCATGACTGTAAAGAAGTGGAGGTTTCTGAAATTTTGGTTAAATTTTGTGTGAAGCTACCTTGATTTCATATGAAATGGTTTTGCAGTTCCTAAATTAATTGCGGTTTGCCTTCGTTCTTTATTAGCTCAAAATAAGATTTGGAACTGAACAAAAAGAGAAAAAAAAATTAAGATAACGTGCATTTGGGATTATGGGCAATGAGAACAAAAAGTGGAGTAGTTACAATCACATTGTACCAATTCTGGGATTTGGGCACTTCGGGTTGCTGAGATAAAAGATGATCAGATCTAATCTTTGATTAAGTAGTAAAGGCAATCTATTGTAATGAAATTAATGAAATCAATAAGTCCGTAAATTGTGAATAAAATAGGCAAAAAGCCATAAAGGAATGACTGCATAAAATTTTCATCTTTATACTCTTTAATAATATGGTCATGCGCATACCAGAAAATATAGGCTCACATGTACACATCACATAGGAGTTAAGGTAAGGTAAGATGCCAATGATTCTCGGTAGAATCAAGAAAAATATTAAGAATAAACGCCTCCATTCATCCTTCTATTTCTCAACTGTTATCCTTTTCGGTGCAGGCCGTGTTTCGAGTGAAGGTGCTCAAGACACTTCCGGGAGCTCCCCCAAAGAAAGAGCAACAAATACTGCAGGCAGTGTGAAAGACTCTAAATTGATTGTATGATAGAGAGTTATTGTACAGCATTCAACAGGCGTATACAATGTGAAGGAAGCTCCTTAGATATCATGCTTTTTCCTTTCTTCCTCAGCAATAGAGCAGGAGTCAGTAATTTGATTCGATAGAATATACATTTTGAGTCAATTCCTTGCTCATTGATGTTCATAATCATTGTGTATTTTAAAAATTTTAATAGTATTTCTCAAATAAAATAGAATAGATTTGCTACTATATATATATAACGTAATTTTGAATAGATTTGTTGGCAATTGAGATTTCTCTTGTAATTTGTAATTTTCATATGTTCATTTTCTGCACATCCTAGGGAAAAAGCATAAACGAGTTCTGAGAGCAGAAGAACGAAGAGGTAGAGAGTTTTTCTCCTTTTCCTCCGTGAAATAATGAATCTGCTAACTTGCTTTCAAATAGCATAAATCTTCCAGTAACAATACTCATTGTCTTAGACTAATATGTCCACATTCTTTACCATAGATCTTGCTGTAGGCTTTTGATACAGTGGCTGCATCAGATACAGTTGGTACAAGTAGGGGTGATATGAAATAGAAACATCCTCACTGCTCATCATTACCAGATTGATCATCCTCTCCCTGATCATCATTCTCATCATCCTTATCATCTGTCCCTATGACATCCACGTCCTCGTAGTCCGTCTTTGTATCAGTATAGCCGATATCCTCCTCATTCTTCGAGTCATGTAGCAGCTAGGCTGACGGCGTGGTGGTGGTGTTGTGGTGGATCTTGTTGTGATGGAGGCTGAGGTGGAGGCTAATAAGATGGTGGGGCCATAGATTCGGGGATCATCTCATGAAGGACCGATGTTATATAATACTGATACTAATAAAATGGGTACCGACTCTGAAACTACTGAAACCCTATATGAAATTGGTGGAACTCCATCTCAAGAGCATAGAGGCGATCACCAAGCATCTGTGGTATGCACTCAGTCGGTGCATCACTGGGTGGCGGAGGCCATGTAGGTAGGGTTTGCTAAGCTGGTGCTAGTCTATGTGAAGAAGTATAAGTGGAAGTAGTGGGCCCCTTGCCTTGAGTAGAAATACTCTTCTTCATTGCCTCAAATATAAGGATCTTGGGTGTAGGTCAAACTTAAGAAAGATATTAAGGAGGATGAACTCTTTCTTAAGAATGCATAAATGCTAGGTCCTAGCCCTAGGTACTGTAGTAAACAGATACTCCATCATTCGCTTGTATTCATCATAGGCTATACCTAACTGAGCTGAAACTTGGAAGAAATCAGGGCAATGTCGAGGAGGGTTGGTCAGTCCAAAGATCTTCTAGATAAGCCTAGACATGACTATTTTAGTTATCCCCGAACAGTGGTGGAATTGAGCCCCAGGTAGATCTGACCCAACTTGCATATAGAATTCTCAAACAAGTGTAGGGTTGGCTATATTGAGTTTTCTAGTAATCATTAAAATGATCCTAGCTTTGTAAATACTTCAACAATAGGTTGGCATTCAAACAACTTATGAATATTGAACCCTCTTTCAAAATGAATCTGTAAATTGTCAAAAGTGAGAGGGAATCTCTAGTTCTTTATCGATTTCCTGAATCCATTGTCTAAATTATAGGAAAATATTATAGGATAATGTGTCAAAAGTGAGAGGCATTCTAAAGCTTGTCGGATTGTCTCCAAGTCTCATTGATGTGCTTCAATGAATTTTCAAAGTTTGTAAGCACTATCAAAATAAACAAATTTGTTAGAAAAGGATGAGTCAAAAGCATTAAGCAAAAATTCTAACAAAAGCTTGTTCATTGTAAACATTTTATGATCATGATTGCTCCACTTGGATTTCTCCAATGTGGGCACAATATAAGCACAATTAATAACTTCCCATAAGTCAATATTTCTAGATTCAACAAATATTTTAAATTTAGAGCTTCTAGATTCAATAAATATTTTAAATTTAGAGCACCATTGAGCATAAGGGAAATTTTTATATTTTGGAGTAATATTTGGATCATAGCCTAAACAAAATGCACCTATATTCATGATGTGAATATATGCAAGCAAGATAAAAGTAATCATAACTAGATTAGCACAAATAAGATAACTTGGATCTTTAACTCAAGGTGGTTAGACCTTAAATCAAAGAGCACCAAACTTTGATACCAATTGTTGGACCCTAGAGGGGGGTGATTAGGGTCTTATGCTAATCTAATCCGATTTTATACCAATTAAAACTAATACAAATATATTCTTGCAAGATAGATATACAAGAGATATAAGCAAGAATAAGCAATATGAACAAATGTAAATATCATAGCAATGAGATATACTATGAGATATATGCAATGATATATAATCACAAGGGTAAACAATCTAAACTCGATAGTGGGCAAAATAATCAACAAGCAATATACAAAGGCGATATAAGATATGAACATAAAAGTAAGTGCGCCAATGCAATCACAAACAAACGACATGATTACAGAGTTCAGTCCTCACGACCTACGTCTCCGCTCCTCACCTCGAGGAGATCTCCACTATCATCAACCGGGTTTTCTACGTTTACCCGAACAACGTTTACACCTCACAATACAGTTTTCTAGTTCACCGAAAACTCTACAACTTACACACTCTTGCAATCCCACTCTACACCCTCTCAAGTGTTGAACTAGATGTGTCTCCCTCAAGTGCTCGGTTACAACCTCTCCCTAGGTTCGTCAACCGATGTCACTCCTCTTGGGACGATCCCCGACTCTCGCCACACACTTCTCTCGGTGTACAAGTGTATTACAAAGTGATCCTCACAATAAGCATAATTATAATAAATGATTGTCCTCTAATATGGATGAGAACACAATAAAATCTTACACTCAATTGTTACAACTCTCACCAACCCAAATATACTATGTATGAAAATACAATAAGCTCAATGTGGGTGTGTGTAAACAATGAGTAAAATTAAATCTAACTCAAATAGCAAACTAGTAATAATAAGAATATAAAAATCAATAATAATATTGCTAGAGAAAAGAGTTAGAAAACTTCTCTATAAACACAAAGAGAGGATGAGAAGATATTGAAGATGAACTCCTCAACAGATGATGCAAGCTCCTCTTGTAAAAGCAAACCCCAGAAAACAAAACAAACTGTAAAACCCTCTTAAACTTGTTTAAAACTTTCTCCAATACTTACTGATAGAAGAGGGGTTGAGGGGTTTTTATAGGAAGAGAAACCAACAGCCAACACCCCAAACAAAACAAAAAATCCCAAAAAATCAGGAATACGAATCTGTACAAAAGAGCCGTTGGGGTGAACGGCGGTCGACCGTGGAAAACTCGCGGTCGACCGCAAGCTAGCTAAGAAACCCAGAAAACTTCCAGAGACTTACGCGGTCGATTGTGGCGGGGGGCCTAAAACCCTGTTTAAAAATATCAAATAAATTCTAAAAAATATAAAAGTTTGGGGAATAATTGTAGATATGATAATAAACATGCTACAATGACTGGTTTCGAAAAAGGACTTCTCAAATGAAAAATATCATCATTTTGCAAAATAGTCCAAAACATAAAAATGTAAACATATGAATTTTGACATTTTGGCTAAACCATGTTTTGAAACTTTACAAAATGATTTTATAGACTTGAAGAAAGATGTAAACTATTGTTATGAAGTCTATAAACAATGAATGTAGTATTTTATCAAAATACACGTATAATGCACTAAAACATGATTTTATTGAACTAACTAAAATTGATATTGATGAAATCATATATATGCATATAAGTATGAAACAAAAATATGTTTTCTAATTATATTAAATTGTTTCATATTAAAACTTGAAAACTATCAAACCAAAACATATATATGTATATATATAACTATATATATACAAAACCAAAACGTGTATGTGTGTATATGATTGAGCTTAAAGTACTAACACCCATAATATAAACTCCTAAACTAAATGTTACCCAAGCTTGATCTTGATCTTCATTGTAGCTCAACTTGGTACTCTTGCGGATGAAGCTTGAACTTGTATCTTTAACTTGAATGTACATTGCTTCACTCCACTATTCCACCAACCTCCATTGGATATGATCGTGAATGCGCAATTCCATCCATCCTGGAAGGCAGAATTTAACATATAATATATAAAAAATCACCTATCTCAACAAGACGAAGCCAACCATGAAGTCAGAATTTTGATAAGAGCATCGATTCCAGCATCGATGCTAGCATCGATGCCAGCATCGATGCTAGCATCGATGCTGATGATTTTGTTATGAATCAAAGAATGAAAATCAAGGGTTTTGGATAAGAATCTGATCCAAGGGCTCACATTCATTGATGTTTACTATAAATAGGGGTAGAGAGTGAGGGGTTGAGGGTGTGAAAAATTTTGTAACTCTATTTGGAGAGGATGATTATTTTTAATTGAGAAGACCTTCTAATTTTGTAACTTTTGTTACAATCAATACAAGAATTTTTTCACCACTTCATATTTTTTTTCTTTGTTGGATGATGAAGATGAAGATGAAGATCAATTTGGAGGTTTGTTTTATTTTATTTTATTTTATTTTCTATTTTATTTCTTTTCTTATTGCTTAGTAGTTTAGATTTACATTAATATTTTGTAGTATAGATTTACTTTCATGCATTTAATTCTTGCAATTTATTTTATAGCTTAGTTTTTGTAATTATTTTGTAGCTTAGATTTTATTTTATTATACTATTCACCTTGAGGCTAGAATCCTCTTGGGATTAGTTTTTTTTTGCTTGTTTTTATTTTCTTTGATTCGCCTTAAGGCTAGAACCCTCTAAGGAATTGTCCTTTTCTTAGATGTGGAATTAATTTTATTGGAACTCTCGAAATTACATGAAACTAGCTTTATTTCTCTTATGATTTGTTAATCTTTCTTTCATGCTTAAAATATTCATGCTTAGGATATTCAACTAAAGAACTAATTGGTAGAAGGAATTCTAGAATTACTATTTAGTTATTATTCTTTTCATGAGTAATAATTTTATTTGGATGATAATTTGATAGGTTATACTTCCCTTAAGTGGTTTGATAATCTATACTTAGTAAATCTAAACTAGAATGTGAAAAAGAGAATGTTTCATATCTTATAAGTGAGATTAGCTAGTGGATTCAATTCTAGATTTCTCATATCTTTAATTGAATCCTCCATCTTTTCTTTCTTGATTTTTCCTTAGTTCTTGATTTTCTCTACAGAAA